GTAAATGTTGAGAAATATTATGTATATATATATATATATATATATATATACATACATACATGAACATGTATATGCACACCTACATACTCATACATACATATGCACATATCTATATATTAATGTATCCACAATTATACACATGAACACATATGCAAGTGTATGTGTATAGTGTATACCCAAAAACATACATATAAGCATATATATGGATGTACATATATTATAACATATATACATGTATATATATACACATATTCAAAAACTATTAGGATTAATTATTTTTAATCAGGTTTAAAAAATTTAAATATGAGTCATGAATGATATTGTGATCTGATCTTTTATTAACACTTTTTGACGAATTCAAAAAGATTAAACTGCTTTCAGAAAAAAGTCTTTTAAAAGTACAATCCTCTCTATATAAAATATTGGGTTCAAAGGTGAAATTATGTGAGTTTTCGATGGAATGCTGAACAAGAGTACTTTGGAAATTTCGGCTTTTATGATGAGTGACGCTTAATTCATGTTGTCTCATTCTCTTATGAATGTACTGTGATGTTTGGCCAATGTATTGTTTTTGACAATTTTTGCAAGGGATGGAATAAACTATGTTAGTATTGAATTTAGGAGGGGTGGTGGATTTAATTTTTGAAAACATTTCTTTAAAAGAATATAGAGCTGTTCCTGAAATGAAAATATTTTCTTCTTTGAGTAATTTGGCAAAATAATCAAATAAGCCTTCAATGTAAGGCATGCTGTGAAAAGTTGGTTTAATATTGTTGTCTTGGAATAACTTGGAGATGGATTGATAATTGTTACTTTTATGATAGGAAAGTCTTTTATTGGTAATGGAATTGATGAGGGTGAGGGGATATCCGTTTTCTAATAAAGTTTTAGTTACTAATGTTGTGTTTTGGGTATGAAAAGAAGAGTGAGACAACATGATTGCGTGGTCTATCAAAGAAATGATTGTATTGACTTTATAATTTTTGGGACAATATGACGCGTAATGAAGGTATCTCCCGGACCATGTAGTTTTTCTGTACCAATTTGTGCAAATAATGTTGTCAATTTTGTGTACAGTCACGTCTAAAAAGTTTAATTTGTTGTCGATTTGTGTTTCATGTGTGAACTGAATGCTCTTATTGTAATTGTTAAAGGTATCGATTATTATATCTGATTGTTCTTTGTCTATTATAAAAAAAGTGTCATCTACATATCTAACGTAAAAATATATTTGGAAATTTAATGTGGAGAAAACGGAAATTTCAAGGGTTTGTAAAACTAGGTCTATGATGCCAGGGGATAATGGGCAACCCATAGCAGTACCTTTGATTTGTAGATAAAAATTATTGAAACAATTAAAATAAGAGCAATTCAGGACAGTGTTAATGATGTGTTTGAAAGTGGTTATGGGCAAGTCGGTGTAGTTACAAATAGTGGGCCAGCGTTTTTCAATTGAATCAAGTATTAAATCATGGGGAACACATGTGAAAAGGTTAATTACATCAAGGCTTAGAAAAATTTGATCGTCCGTAATGTTTCAGTCTTTGATTAGATCCACAAATTGGTAAGAGTTCTTTACATAGTGAGGAGAGGAAATTGTGACATTTTTTAAAATATTAGCAATGTGTTTAGCGATATTATAGAATGGGGAGCCAACGTAGGATACAATGGGTCTAAAGGAGCATTCAGGTTTGTGGACTTTGGGGAGACAATACATTTTTGGGGAAATAGGATGTTGTACTTTTAAATTATAGGCAAATTTGTCAGAAATGAATTTTTTATTTTTTAATTCATTAATTAATTTAATTGATTGTCTAGAAAACTGTTGTGTTGGATCATTTGTAATGATTTTGTAAGTAGTATCATCTTTTAGCATTTGTAATGTAGTGTTAGTATAAAATTCTTTGTCAAGAATTACCGTCATATTGCCTTTATCTGCTGGACAAACAATTATATTATTAGATTTAATGAATAATTTGGTCTCCGCTATATCTTTGTGTAGTCTTTTAAGATGAATATGTTGGAAACTCTTATCAACTTTTTTTAATTGTTTAACTAGTTTTTCACATAGTTTTGACCTGATTCGATTTTGCTTGTCAGTCTCAATGTTCCTGATATTGTATTCTATGTTACTTAAAATTTTTATGAAGTCATTATTTCTGTATTTACTAGGTGCGTAATTGAATTTTGGACCGAGTGCTAAAATGTATTGGATATTTTCTGGAATGACTATATTGGTTTTATTTATTAGCCATTTGTCTATCGAAAATTTAGAAACATGAAATGGATAATTTTTATCTCGAATTTGTATAAGATTTTTCAATTTCTGTATTTGTTTATTTTTAATAATATGAAAGTGTTTATCGTATTTTTTATTTTCGAATTCTAAAAATTTATTAAAAGTATTTTTATCTATTGTTTCTCGGAGTGTATTTATTATCTGATCTATTCGTGTTTTTTTATTTTTTATGTCAATAAAAGAATTTTTTATTTCTAATTTAAGTACTGAATTTTGTAAGTATGATATTTGCCGCTCAATTTTATATATATTTGAAGTTGTTTGTAAAAACTGTTGGTTGATAATATTAGTTATGAAATTCGGTATAATCCATTCATTTTTACATCGTAATAAAAATATTTTTTTGTTGATGGCTTTTGCATATTTAATATTGAGTTTTGAAAATGTTTTCATCAGAGTGTGGTGCTTGTGGTCTGAAGTGTTTGACAGTGATTGAAAGAAATTTCGTCCCATTGTGTTCTGGAGTATATTCAATAGATAAGTCCTGGATTTTTTCAATATATTGATTGTTTCTTTTCCGAACAGTAAATCCAATAATAAAAAACAATTTGTTTTTTGAAGATGTTTAATACGACGTTTCGGAACTAGGTACGTTCCATCATCAGGTTTATTCTGTCAAATACAATGTTTTTTAAAATACTGATTACATTAATTAACAATGGTCAATACAGATTAATTAGAAAAAAATTTTGTTATAAAGGAATGGATTATGTACCGGATAGATAGTAATAAGACTTAACTAAAAAAGGGTTTTATATAAAATTGAGAAGCAAAAATTATTTACCTGTAATAATTTATATATCCATATCACTAATATTTTTTTGTTAAAAACACTCGATTTTTTTGGAAGATATTTGTAGATGTTACGACTACACAAGACTTAAACACACTGATATGGATTTCTGTCTGCCAGATGTAAAGGACAAAGCACGGAACTCTTGGCAAAAATGATTTTTTATGGCTCTTGTTTGGTAATTTACGAAAAAAGGAAAAATATTGCTTTAGTAAATGTTGAGAAATATTATGTATATATATATATATATATATATATATACATACATACATGAACATGTATATGCACACCTACATACTCATACATACATATGCACATATCTATATATTAATGTATCCACAATTATACACATGAACACATATGCAAGTGTATGTGTATAGTGTATACCCAAAAACATACATATAAGCATATATATGGATGTACATATATTATAACATATATACATGTATATATATACACATATTCAAAAACTATTAGGATTAATTATTTTTAATCAGGTTTAAAAAATTTAAATATGAGTCATGAATGATATTGTGATCTGATCTTTTATTAACACTTTTTGACGAATTCAAAAAGATTAAACTGCTTTCAGAAAAAAGTCTTTTAAAAGTACAATCCTCTCTATATAAAATATTGGGTTCAAAGGTGAAATTATGTGAGTTTTCGATGGAATGCTGAACAAGAGTACTTTGGAAATTTCGGCTTTTATGATGAGTGACGCTTAATTCATGTTGTCTCATTCTCTTATGAATGTACTGTGATGTTTGGCCAATGTATTGTTTTTGACAATTTTTGCAAGGGATGGAATAAACTATGTTAGTATTGAATTTAGGAGGGGTGGTGGATTTAATTTTTGAAAACATTTCTTTAAAAGAATATAGAGCTGTTCCTGAAATGAAAATATTTTCTTCTTTGAGTAATTTGGCAAAATAATCAAATAAGCCTTCAATGTAAGGCATGCTGTGAAAAGTTGGTTTAATATTGTTGTCTTGGAATAACTTGGAGATGGATTGATAATTGTTACTTTTATGATAGGAAAGTCTTTTATTGGTAATGGAATTGATGAGGGTGAGGGGATATCCGTTTTCTAATAAAGTTTTAGTTACTAATGTTGTGTTTTGGGTATGAAAAGAAGAGTGAGACAACATGATTGCGTGGTCTATCAAAGAAATGATTGTATTGACTTTATAATTTTTGGGACAATATGACGCGTAATGAAGGTATCTCCCGGACCATGTAGTTTTTCTGTACCAATTTGTGCAAATAATGTTGTCAATTTTGTGTACAGTCACGTCTAAAAAGTTTAATTTGTTGTCGATTTGTGTTTCATGTGTGAACTGAATGCTCTTATTGTAATTGTTAAAGGTATCGATTATTATATCTGATTGTTCTTTGTCTATTATAAAAAAAGTGTCATCTACATATCTAACGTAAAAATATATTTGGAAATTTAATGTGGAGAAAACGGAAATTTCAAGGGTTTGTAAAACTAGGTCTATGATGCCAGGGGATAATGGGCAACCCATAGCAGTACCTTTGATTTGTAGATATATATATATATATATATATATAAATTTAAAGCAATCAATACAATACTTTAAACTTTGAAAATATTGTAAATACAAATTCAATTTGTAGTTAATTTTAAAATAAACACATAATATTATACAATTTTAAAATAAACACATAATTTTCTAAAAGTTTTTTTTCCAAAAAGTCAAAAAAAAAATCAAATATTTAAAATTTCTCAAAAATCTATATTTTTAAAAGTTTAAAAAAAAAATTAATCTTTTTTAAAAAAAATAATTTTTGGTACGGAAAGTTTCAGCAATTTACCTTGAGGCACGATGCCATACACCACTAGTTTTGTTTTTGTCTTGAATTTTTTTTAATCAATTTTCTTTCCAGAAAGCACTGTTCGCGAAACTTTCCACAACATGGCAAATAGTATGCAAAACTTGAATCGGCAAATGCGCGTCAGGCTGCAACACGCGCTCACAGGCAAAGAACAAAACTGCCTGCAAGTCGAAGCACTGATGCGATGTCTTAGCCTTGCAGCAATCGAAAAGGTATTGTCAGTAATAAAATATTTTTGATGAAGTATTATTTATAAACTTGTGCTTTTTTTAGTGCGACATTTTTCGCTACTGAAGAAAAACTAATTGATTTGGTAGATTCACAACAAGTATTGCATATTATTCATGTATACTACATTTATATTTATTGAATACATTTATATATATATATATATATATATATATATGTATATATATATATGATTTAGTAGTTAATTTTGATGTTGAAATATATGAGTGAGTTCTTGAGGGCGATACATCAAACAAAGAATAACTTTCGACTTTTGCCTCGGGACGTGTAGCGATAACATAGCCCCTGGTCTATGCAAAAATACTTAAAAAATTTTCCACAGTTTTGCAAAACAAAACTCTCATTATTTTTCTTACTAAAAAAATGCATGATTATCGACGGGCTGGTTGTATCAATGTTAGTGCAAAATTCTGTGATGAGTACACATTTTAAGATATAAAATACCATGTTCAATATCCACTGATGATGACATTAAATTGAATGTCGAAACGTTTGGAATTAAAGATTATTTTATAAATTTTTGCCTTTTCTTTGTTTGATGTTTCGCCCTCAAGAACTCACTCATATATATAATATAATATATATATATATATATATATATATATATATTATATATATATATATATATATATATATATATATTTATTGAATATTGTATCTGAATATATTTAATAAACTGAAAAAATCATAAATAGTTTTAATTCGCCCTCAAGAACTCACTCATATATATAATATAATATATATATATATATATATATATATATATTATATATATATATATATATATATTTATTGAATATTGTATCTGAATATATTTAATAAACTGAAAAAATCATAAATAGTTTTAATTTTTAATTTAAAATAATTAAATTAAATTATTTAATTACATATAATTCTATTAAATTAATTTATTGCTTGATTATATATTTCATGATGTATACCCATTTGAAACTATTTTTACGATAGATTTAAAACTTACACATATATTTGACTGAAACATTATAATTAGATATTATTGTAAAGTCAAAATCGACTTCATAATATTGTAAGTAAAATATAATCTTTTAATATTCGTATTTATTCAAAAGCATTTTGAGTACAACGCAAATGACTACAAATAAATATTTTTTTTGCGTTTTTTGTAATATATTTGACATTTTAATTTTGCTTATTCATTGGATATGTAACATAGATATTACATATAAAATAATTTTCAATGCATATTAATTATTCATAATTTACTTCAAAATAATATTTTGATAAAAAAATATGAACACTAAGCATCGTTAGATCTTCTACAATATCGCTGCTAAAGATGCTAAAAATATCAATCTTTACCATTTTGTCTGAAGGCTAAAAAAATTGCCTATATGTGTAAATAATCGGCTCAATCAATAAAAATTAAAAATTATCAAATTATAAAATAGTGATAACAATAGCTTGAAATTTTGACACAATTCTTTTTTCCAAATTTTAATGAATTTTTAAAATGACACCACTTTTGTAGACTTATAATATTTGACCATAAAGTCCGATCACAAGCTGACGACTCTCGAATGGGTTTTTAATTTGCAAACTCAGTTCTTCGCGAAAATCTGAACAGTGATTAACTTTCGGTAGACTTATTAACCTTGTAGGGAATGTTTAATGTGCATTTACAGTACAGGCCAAAAGTTTCCGGACACATGAAAAAAATCTCATTTTCTGAGTTTTTAGCTATATTTTTCATATAAAAATAATTTTATTCAAGTTAGTTTTGTACATTCTACGTAGTATTAATATTTAGTGACTGAATTGTAACCAATTTGTGAGAAATGATAAACTAATTAGCAATGAAAATGTTAAAATGTCACTGCAGTCGATTTTCCTGAATATGACCATCCTTTGCTTTGATCACTGCAATGCATATTTTTGGTAATCTTTCGACGAGTTTTTTGCAATGTTTGCGCAGGTATGTTCTTCCAGGACTCGTTAAGGCAATTCCACAGGGCATCGAGGCTGGTTGGATGCAAATCCTTCACGCGCCGTTTAAGCTCGTCCCACAACAGTTCTATTGGATTAGGATCCGGCGATTGTGCAGGCCACTCAATTATTTCCTCCAAATAATTGGCACAAAATCGGGAAGTGTGTTTAGGGTCATTATCTTGTTGAAAAATGAATTTTAGACCAATTAAATTAAGACCAGATAGAATGGCGTGGCGCTGAAGTATGCTATGATACTGTTCTTTCTTTAAAGTTCCATCTATTTTGACAAGCGATCCGACTCCATTGAATCCAAAACAACCCTAAGCAATCACTGAACCACCATCGTGCTTCACCTTCGGCGAAATACACTTAGAATTGATTCGGTTTTGGCAAATTGCAATCTTTTTTGTTTATTTACTCCTCGCAGAAGTGGTTTTTTGATGGCAACACGACCAATCATACCTTTTTCTCGAAGCCGGCGCTTGACCGTCGTGAGTGATATTGGCTCATCTAACCGTTCATTGATTTGAGCCCGGATATCTGAAGCGGACTTGAATCGATTTGCATTGCTGATGTTGTATATGTTGTATCGACATTATTTGAGGTTTTCCGAGGTCGACCAGATCGAATTCGATCAGTATTGATGTCTGTTTCATGATATCTTGCCACTGCATTTTGTGCTGTACTTTTAGGTACCTGTAGTATTCTGGCGATATCGCGATATGATTTGCCTGTTTCTTTCAAAATAACAACTTGAGCTCGCTCTTCAGACGATAAATTCTTCAAAAATACTTCAAATAACGGAGTGGCCTGCACAAATGCCGGATCTTAATCCAATAGAACTGTTGTGGGACGAGCTTAAACGCCGCGTAAAGGATTTGCATCCAACCAGCCTCCCCGCCCTGTGGAATTGCCTTAACGAGTCCTGGAAGAACATACCTGCGCAAACATTGCAAAAACTCGTCGATAGATTACCAAAAAAATGCGCTGCATTGATCAAAGCAAAGGGTGGTCATATTCAGGAAAATCGACTGCAGTGACATTTTAACATTTTCATTGCTAATTAGTCTATCATTTCTCACAAATTGGTTACAAATCAGTCACTAAATATTAATACTACGTAGAATGTACAAAACTAATTTGAATAAAATTATTTTTATATGAAGAATATAGCTAAAAACTCAGAAAATGAGATTTTTTCATGTGTCCGGAAACTTTTGGCCTGTACTGTACGTTTTAAACTCTAGTGAACATTTTGGCATGCTTTAGAAAAAAATAGATGTATGTGTGTGTTTGTGTGTATGTATGCGTGTGCAATTTTTTTCGAAGATTTCGTGAACACCGATCAATCGATTTGAATAATTCAAAAAACATTCGATTCCTATTGACGTTTTTGGCTGAGAAGAATCCAGCTTTTTCGAAGATGTAGCGTAAAAAAGTGTGCAAAAAATTAATTAAGTTTTTGAGAGAAAGAAGAGTCCGCTTTAAATCACTTAAAAAACATTTTACTAATAATAACGAAGTGAACAACTGGTAAAATTTTAGGATAGGTAGGTCTAGCGGTTTTGGAAATATAATAAAAAAAGTAAAAAAATGCTATTTGCCGGTCAAAAATGATTATTAGGCATATGCATATCAGTTATCAGATATTTTATACAGGTTTCATATTAAGTACAAATGTTGGCATTACAATGGGTTCCGTAGCGAGATTTATAATGTTTTACCGTTAGGCTGCGGCCCGGGAAAAAATCAAAACTTTCAACAAAATAAATCAGAAAAATATAAAAATAAAATTTTTTTTTTTCAAAAGTAAATATTTTTCAAAAATTTCAAAATTCTTAAAAATCTAAATTGCTCAAAGTTCTTAAAAATTGTAAATCTTTAAAAATTATAAATTATAATACGGAAAGTTCCAGTAGTTTGCCATGCACCACTAGTTTTTTTTAATTTTTTAACAATTCTTACAAAAGTTGTTCAAATTTTGGCTAGTAAAATGCCACGTAGCATTCAGTAAGTATATTTTTGGTTAAAGCAGATTAATTACACATAGGCTAGAACGGAGCTTGAAGATCCGCAGGTAAAAAGATCTTCCATCGATATCTGCAAAACAAGCAAGTTAAGATTTTTTTAGCAACAATATTTGAAAGTAGAGGAAAAAATATGTATAATCAACCATCACCTTTGCCTATAAACGGCAATAGCGAGCGCACGCCTTAGGGGGCGCCAAAACGAGTTTCGGATGTAAAATTTATAATGAAGTTTTTTCAAATCCTGCATCTTTTACTAATCTTGGCAAATATTTTTAACTTCCCGTAAGGTAAGTTATAGTAATCGCATAAAAATCGAAAATGAAAAATTTTATATATCTTTACGTTCCAAAATCTTCTGAACATTCTGATAGCGTGTGTATGCGTGTATGTGTGTATGTGTTGTGTGTGTGTGTGTGGATACAAATGTTCGTCGACGATTTCATTATTCAAAAAACATTTGATTGCTCTTGATAAGGAGACGTGCTGATTAGTCTTTGGCATAGACACATTGCTGGATTTACAGTAGGGGCAATTGGGGCTGCTGCCCAGGGCGGCAAATTTTGGGGGGCGGAAAAATTTGGATAGTGAGAAAAAAATTCTATACAATATAATCAGCTTTTTTTTAACAACATTTTTCATTTTAAGAAATATTGTATAATCAATAAAACATAATACGATTGCAATGCAAAATTTGGGTTGAAATAACCGATAACTAAAATTTATTATTTTGCATTGCCTCCCTCCCCGAACGTAAACTTTAAAATTGGTTAATAAGTTATCAAATTTGGCAATTTGGCTAATATAAAGATCCGTAAACAAACTGAAAGTTTAAGAAAAATATGTTTTTCAGTTTTCGAGCCCTTTTAAAATGACGAATTTGTGCACTTCCAAACTTATAGCGTCGAAAAAAAATTTAAACTAGTCATTCATGTCATTGTGCCTTAAGACAAATTACTGAAACATCCCATACTGAAAATTACATTTTATAAAGAGCTTTAAAATTTTTTGAAAAATGAAAAAAAAAGACTTTTAAAACACATTTTTTGTATTTTGAAATTTTTCGAAAATTATGAACTTTTTGCAAAGCAATCGCGCTGCGTAGCTGTGTCAGAGAAGAAATATCAATAATTACGAAAATTACCATTTTTCGTAATTGCCTGTGCCAAAAGCTAATCAGCACGTCTCCGCTTCAATACAAATCTAATATTTTTTAATAATTCAAGTCGATTTCAAGAATACGGATAAACTGATTTAAATGATTCAATTCCTATTGATAAGAAGACGTGCTGATTAGTTATTGGCCAAGGCAGGTCCAACTGTTTTGAAGAAACGGGCCAAAATGCCAAAAATGATAATTCGGTATTTGAGGAAAAAAGCGTCTAATATCATTCAAAAATTTACAGAATAAATATCTGCTTAAAATTGTGGGGGGCAGGTTTAGCGGTTTCGATGATCCAGTAAAAAAAAATGAAAAAGAAACATTTGGCGGACAAAAGAGATCATAAGACATATGCACTTTAAATTATCAGATATTTTAAAGGTATTATAATAATAAGTATAAATTTTCTTTACATTTATATGCGTTCTGCAACAGTGTTTATCCGTTAGACTGCGACGCGGCGTTTACGCGCTTCTATATTCTGTCCCTACGCAGCTGAAGCAGCGCGATTGCTATTAAAAAAAAGTTCGAGAGTTCGAAAATTTCAGGGATGGGGCGGCATTTTTGTCAGTGCCCCGGGGCGCCAAATTTTTAAATCCGGCCCTGCATAGACAGGTCTAGCCGTTTTGAAGATACGGGGCAAAAACTGCCACAAACGGTAACTCGGTTTTTAAGTGAACGGAGCGTCCGATTTTAATAATTTAAAAAATATTCCACTTTGATTGACAGGATGAAGAACTGATTATATTTTTATGAAGGCAGGTCCAGCGATTTCGGAGATATAGTGAGAAAAGTAAAAAAATACCATTTGGCGGTCAAAAATGATCATTAGACATATGCACATCAAATTATCAGATATTTTATAGAGATTTTAATTATAAGTGTAAACTTTGTTTACATTCCTATAGGTTCCGTACCAATGTTTATCAGTTAGACGGCGATGCGACACTTACGCGCTTCGATATTTCGTCTCTTTGCAATTGAAGCAGTGCGATTACTTTGAAAAAAGGTTCAAAATTTACAAAATATTTCAAAATGAAGAAAACATTTTATTTTAAAAAATCTTTTTTTTTTTTAAAAAAAAGTTTTGTCAAAAATTTATAGTTTCTCAAAAATCTAATTTTTTCAAAGTAATTTTTTTTCAAAAATGTTAATCTTTTAAAAAAAAAATTCTTGGTACGAGAAGTTCCAGCAATTTGCCTTAAAGCACGATGCCATGCGCTCCACTAGTTTAAATTGAACTTTGAAACAACAATCTGATATATGATGGGAAAGTATAGATGAATAATACATACATACACTGCGGCCCTTACGATATCAATGAGAAGAAGTTTACGATACAATATTTTAGATATTTTAAATAATAACAGGAAGTACCAGTGTTAAGTTTAATAATGAGAGGCTAGAATTTTTCAGCTCTTTTTGATTTGCTCAATAGAACAAATCGCAAAATATTCCTGCAAGCAATAATGAACTTACTGAAATTTTTGAATGTCCTAAATAGTTTGGATTGACAATGAGAATTTAAAAATAGTTCGGTAGTGCGACAACGATAAAAGGCATTGCAATTTGACTATGAACACCCGCAAATTGCCTTGATCTTCTAAATAAATTTAAAACTAGCTGTAAGTGGAATTCTGTCTTAAGGCAATTAAGGCATCGTGCCTTAAGGCAAATTGCTGGAACTTCCCGTACCAAAAATTATTATTTTTTTAAAAACAATTAACATTTTTGAAAAAAAATTACTTTGAAAGAATAAGATTTTTGAGAAACTATATTTACTGTACTATATAAATTGGACAATAAATAACTTTTTTTTGAAAAAAAAAAATTTTTTTTTAAAAAAACATTTTTTTTTTTAATATTTTTTTTTTTGAAAAAAATTTTTTTTTCTTTATTTTGACATATTGTAGAAGATCTGAACTTTTTTTCAAAGCAATCGTACTGCTTTAACTGCATAGGGACAAAATATAAAGCGCGTAAGCGCCGCGTCGCTGTCTAACGCATAAGCATTGGTACGGAACCCATAGAAATGTTAACAAATTGTATACTTATTGTTAAAATCTCTATAAAATATCTGATAATTTGATGTGCATATGTCTAATGATCATTTTTGACCGCCAAATGACTCATTTTTTTACTTTTTCTTCCATATCTCCGAAACCGCTAGACCTACCTTCATGAAAATGTTATCGATTCTTCATCTTGTCAATACAAGTCAAATGTTTTTTGAATTATTCAAATCGGACGCTCCGTTCTCTTAAAAACTGAGTTACCGTTTTCGGAACTTTTTGCCCCGTATCTTCGGAACGGCTTGACCTGCCTTCGCCAAAAACTAATCAGCACGTCTCCTTATCAATACGAATTGAATGCTTTTTGAATTATTCAAATCGGTTGATCCGTGTTCCCGAAATCGTCGACGAAAATTTGTATTCGCACATACATACACACACGTACATACATACACACACACATACACACACACATACACACACACATACACACACACACACACATACATCCATTTTTTCTAAGGTATGCCAAAATATTCAGAAACCTCTGAAACGTAAAGATATATAAAAATTTTCATTTTCGATTTTTTTGCGATTACTATAACTTGCCCTACGGGAAGTTAACAATGCATTTTATGCGCATTTAGATTATATATAATTTTTTGTGTACTAAATTTAGATTTATTAAAAATTATTTAAAAAAAAATAACGTTAATATTTATATAATTTTAATAATTAACAGTTCAAAAAGTTAAAACAATAGGGGTGAGGGGGGTGCTAGAAGAAAATTAGCATGCAGGCGCTGAGTACGTCAGGACCGGCCTGAAAATAGTATTTTAAGCACCTTACATATAGTTATTTTGAGGACCTTAATATATATTTAAAGTTTACGTAATTTAATTGTTTTATAAGATGTAGGTTTAATTTTATATTACATTCAACCGTTTTGTATATAACCTCTAAAAGCTTACACTTGGGTAGAGTAAAAAGGTAGAAAATGAAAAGGTGTAAAAATAGCAAATAAAACAGTATAAAGATAAAAAATAAGTTAAATAAAGCAATTTCATAAGAGATAAATTAACTGAATAGTTATTCTATAGAAATACCAGATCAAAGTTATTTACAATGTTGTGATTGTAAAAAATTTATAAAATTCTTTTAAAATTTAAACAAGACATTGAACCTGTTTGCCCCCTGGCCATCCTACTTGTAATTTACTCCGCCTATCGGGTATTCGTACCAGGTTACAAATTTTCTCAAAAATTTTCAATGAAGCTGGAATTTTTACTGAACATAGTTAGACAATTATTTTCACAATATAATTGCTCAAAATTAAGTTGGATCTTTGGCCGAGCCCTACTCATTTTAATTATTTTAATTTAAAAAAAATAAAGTAAAATTTATCAAACTTGACATAAATAAATAATATTATCACAGTAACTATAGTTGCAAATAGTGTTTTATTGAAAATTTTATTTAAAACTCGAATTTACACTACATTCGCATTTATATTTGTTTAAATTTTTATCAATTTTGATGCTTATAAACTGATTCTTTCAAATCTAAACCATTTCAAATAAATATCTCTATAACCCTTAAGGAAAATAGTGAAAATTTAGAAATTAAAACTACCATTTTCTATTTCGATAATAATGGCAATGTAAACAAACATTGAAAGCAATTTTTAACTTCCCGTAGGGCAAGTTATAGTAATCGCAAAAAAATCAAAAATGAAAATTTTTATATATCTTTACGTTTCAGAGGTTTTTGAACATTTTGGCATACCTTAGAAAAAATGGATGTATGTGTGTGTGTGTGTGTGTGTGTGTATGTATGTATGTATGTATGTATGTATGTATGTATGTATGTGTGTGTATGTATGTGCGGATACAAATTTTCGTCGACGATTTCGGGAACACGGATCAACCGATTTGAATAATTCAAAAAACATTCGATTCGTATTGATAAGGAGACGTGCTGATTAGTTTTTGGCGAAGGCAGGTCTAGCCGTTCCGAAGATACGGGGCAAAAAGTGCCGAAAACGGTAACTCAGTTTTTAAGAGAACGGAGCGTCCGATTTGAATAATTCAAAAAACATTTCACTTATATTGACAAGATAAAGAATCGATAAAATTTTCATGAAGGTAGGTCTAGCGGTTTCGGAGGTATGGAGGAAAAAGTAAAAAAATGAGCCATTTGGCGGTCAAAAATGATCATTCGACATATGCACATCAAATTATCAGATATTTTATAGAGATTTTAACAATAAGTATACATTTTGTTAACATTCCTATGGGTTCCGTACCAATGCTTATGCGTTAGACAGCGACGCGGGGCTCACGCGCTTTATATTTTGTCCCTATGCAGTTAAAGCAGTACGATTGCTTTGAAAAGAAAGTTCAAATCTTCCACAGTATGTCAAAATAATTTTTTTTCAAAAAAAATATTAGAAAAAATAGTTTCTCAAAAATCTTATTTTTTCAAAGTAAGTTTTTTTCAAAAATGTTAATCGTTTTTAAAAAAATAATAATTTTTGGTACGGGAAGTTCCAGCAATTTGCCTTAAGGCACGATGCCTTAATTGCCTTAAGACAGAATTCCACTTACAGCTAGTTCAATTATATATTCAACAAAATTGTATCAAATTTGATGTTTCTGAACAAATTTCATCTTTCAAATTCAAACCGTTTCAATTAGTTCGGTCGTTGTGGCGCTGTTGACGATCTCGAACGTCTCGCACCCGTTCGAAATGTGTCAGTGTGTGGTGCGCCATGTTGAATAGTATTTCACAAGCGTATTGAGTTACTTGATTTTACGTGCTCTCCCAGTGATGTGTCAGATCAAAATACGCGAACATGCTCGAAACAATTGTTGGTTTTCTTATACTGATTTTTTGAGAAAATCTCAAGTGATTATGCGTGAGGAACAATTGAAATGTTATATGAGTTTGTGTCTGGTGGAGTGATCATTTTGAAAGTATGGATTCACTAAGGAAGTGGTTTTACAAACCAAAGGTTAGTTTGTTTCAATTGTAGGTTCTATTATTTGATTTTATCTTCATTTCATATCCTATTATTATATTGCATTTTTTTATAATTCATCTATCTTCTGAAAAAAGGTTTTTTGTCATTGTTATAACATAACCTTAATGTGGCCAAGAATATCTGTGTTTTTATTTTGACAACTTGCATACCAGCTGACACATTGTTCAAAAATTCCTAGAATTGGATTTATTCTTTTAAATCGTGGTAGCAATATAATTGATACTCAATTATATAAATCAAAAAGTCAGTATTATATTGCTCTAATAATCCTTGATCTTAAATAGGATCAGAATAATCTGATGGCACACTCTGTTATTTTCCAATGCTTGGATCAAACTATTTGTCATGGATTGATCCATAGTGAAAATAAACAGAACAAAAACTGAGAAAAGTTATGTGAAAAATTTAGAAAATTAGAAAATAATGATACAAGTGATATGTATAGATGAAGCCACAAATATTAGAAATAATTATTTTGCGAATTCAAAGAAGAAAACTTGGATTTGATACACTCAATAACAAAGTTGACACCGAGGAGGCCCTACGATGCCACAGAAATGCCAAATGTAAATGGAAATGAGATTACGAATTGATGCATTGAATGGTTAGAAATATATACAAATAATTAAAGACGTAGGTGCTATAGAAGTTATTAGATGAGATTTTTTTTTAATGTTCTATCTTTAGCTGTGTTCAGAATACGATATGCATGTACATATACACACACCACTTTTTATACTTTTCGTATATTGATCTTTTAAGCTTTGTTTTACTTTTATAATCTTTATTTACAGTCCCAGATGAGATAAGATAGATCTGAAATGACTACTTTTGGATATATTCAGTATGATTAACACCTGACCAAATACCTTAACGGCAAATCTAAAATTTATAATTATCTTAGCAATGCTGTCTGATATTAAATTTTGCCTCAATGGGTATCTGTAGGTCTTGATACCATAACCAATATGTACATACTTCTCGTACTATTATATAAAGGTATAATCAGACAAGTTATGTAGCTTGTTTTGAGAGGAAAATATTTATTTGATAAATCTGGAGGGAAGTTGTAAACAAAGAATAAGATGAAATCTGTAAACTGGATAACTTGTTTAATTTCATTTTAATATTAATTTGATATTCTTTCATCATCTATTTGCATTGTGATAGTTTGTGCTTCATATTAATCTAATTTATTACATTCAGCTTTTTGTGAATTAAGGTTTTGAATTGTAGAGTTTTAAGATTCCATTTTATTATTATAATTTGGAATGTATTATTCATTTGGGTGATTTCTGCTGATTTCATTATATCAATTGACATAAATGAAATTATCTGTAATTTGATAATCAATTCATAAATATATCTTTTAAAATGAACATTTTTCTTGAAATTTTTCTTACACTCTTTCTTACACTATGGTACTGTACACATGAGTAATATACAAATACTAGCTGATCCGACAAAGGTTATCCTGTACTCACATTTACAATTAATAAGTTCCCACTAATATTCACCTTTAAATATACTACTATTGGTTGGTCCATACATATGTCAAATGTAGAGAACTGCGTTAAATCATACGTTGAGTCATGAATCCTGCACTTAACTTTTTAATTATATGGTGGAAATCAATTTAGCTCAAATACTTTAAATACAATAGCTCAAATTAGTTCAATGCCAAGGGATACAGAATATTTTTAGTTACATCTGTAGATGTAAAAGTATTTTTCTAACTTCATATATATATATATATATATATATATATATATATTGAAAATAAGCCCATTTCGGGCACTGCGGTGTGAAATGGAAATGGGAAAAACTCTCACACTACTTCTTCCCTGAATCGAGTTGGAGTTTAACTCAGCTCACGGAGCTGCCCTAGGGCAGCACTACCCATTATTATTATATATATATATATATATATATATATATATATATATATATATATATAAATGTAGATTAAGCCTGTAACGACTTGATTCGAATCAACTCGTATCAAGCCGCTAAATATTTACTGTGATAAAATATGTGTGAAAATACTGTGATTTTCATAAATATAAAAAAAAAATGTTTTAATTTAACTCAATATTATAATGATATAAAAAATAATAATAAATAACATAAATGCAAAAAATGCGGGCTCCTCAAGCCTTAGGGGGCGCCAAAACGAGTTTCGGAAATTAAATTTATAATATAATTTTTATATAAAATCTAGAATTATTTATTTAAAATCTAGAATACTTAATAAATTATAATAAATAATTTAACTTAACTAGGGATACGGAGAAACATAAAGCATATTTATTTTGCAATGTGATATCAGTAGAAACAATTAACCGATTAATAATTCTGCAAATTAGTAAATAACAGCTCTGTTTATTGCTTAATCTACTTATTCAATTTCTTCTTTGTTTGAAGTTACCGTGGAATCGAAAAAGAAATTATCTAGTGTTCAATCCCATAAGCGCAAACCTGCAAAAGATTAAATTAAATGTTGGGCATTATTGACGAAAAATTGCGAGCTGATTAAGTTGAATCGGAACTTGTTAAAAAATATAAACAAATTATATAAAATAGGGAGTCAGTGCTTAGAAAATGACTTGTTTATTCCGAGAAATTGAATTGTAACTTTTGCTTTTGTTGCAAATGTTTGGCATCTGTTGAACTTTTAAGGTTGAAGACATGCGTGGAACAAATATGAAAAATGGAAGCAAAATGTACTTTGGAATGAAAATCTTAAGGCTTGTTTTATACCTAGTGGTGTTCATACTCTAAATTTAATAATTATTAACTATACAGAAATAATACATATCAAATATAATAAGTTTTTTTTTTCAATGTTGTTCAAGAAATGTGTAATATCTTTGCATTTTTTACTGATTTTTGAACAATACTTCTAAAATACGTTAAAAATTTAACTTTAAAACAACATGCTGCTGATACTCTGAATATGACGGCTCTTACGATATCAATAAGGAGAAGTTTACGACGCAAAAATGGATATTGTAAATAATGAAAAATTAAATTAAATTAAAATTTAAAAAATCCAATATGAAATACGAGTGTTATGTTTGAAAATTAAATGCTAGTTTTTTTAAATATTAATATTGCACATACGTTAAAAATAATTGTTAAAAATAATATGAAATACGAGTGTTATGTTTGAAAATTAAATGCTAGTTTTTTTAAATATTAATATTGCACATACGTTAAAAATAATTGAAAATTTCAAAATACTTGATTATAATCAACCCCCGAATCGACTCAATTTTCTAAATAAATTTAAAATCAATATATTTGATACGCTTTTAGGTTATATCTAATTTTTTGTGCACTAAATCCAGAATAATTAAAAATTAATTTATTTATTTTACTTAATATTTTCATTAAATTAAAGTTATAGAATTTAAGAAATGCATATCAAGATCTTTACATTAAAATAATAAATACTATTTCTGAAATGCATTTTTTAAATTCTATAATTTTAATCTAACAAAAATAATAATTCTTTTGCTATAATAGTTACTTCGAACTCACATACTACATATTGAATATTACTAAAATGTGAAATTATGACAGGGATTGTTTTATTTATTGATATCGATAATAATAAATAAATTTAAAATCAATATATTTTATACCCTTCTAGATTATATCTAATTATTTGTGTACTAAATCCAGAATAATTAAAAATTAATTTTTAAAAAATATGTGAATATTTATATAATTTTAATGATGAACTGTTAAAACGGTGAAAATTAATAGGGGGGGGCGCTAGAAAAAAAGTTGCATGCGGGCGCTTAGGACCCCAGGACCGGCCCTGATAACATTAATGTTACGCTTACCCTCTGAAAATAAACGTAGTCAGAAACACGCACTTATCCCTATAACATTGGCGAGAAGTTGTACTATGAACAGATTTGACATTTGCTATTTTGACATTTATGCGTTTAACATGCTTTTTTGAGGTTATGATAGTGCAAATGGTTAGATACCAAATAATTGTCTTTCAAATGTGCAGTTAAAATTAATTGATTTTAATATTTCAGAAGTACACAATGAGGCAGATAACATGGCATATAATATCAGAAATTCCTATGCCAGGAGATATTTTTAATACTATAATATTCATAGGTACTTAAAAAAACGAACATAATTTTATGGCTAGATAAATGTGATTATTTTAAATATATATATATATATATATATATATATATATAATTATATTATATATATTATATTATATATATATATATATATATATCTATATAGAGAGAGAGAGAGAGAGAGAGAGAGAGGGAGAGAGAGAGGAATAAAAAACTAAATTTATTAACTGTCTAATTTATTTTTTAATGTATCATTAAGAATTTTCAATTGATCGGCTATGCAAATTGTGTGTTGCTAATTAAAAAATATGCATATATTACGTACTGCGCCGGTTTAGTTTTATTTGCTCTTTTCATTTGCGCAGCACTGGCCATTTTGTATGTAAAATATATTTTATATATTTATCTTGTACTTGTACTGGTACAAGTATATCCCAAATTGAAAAAATCGTTCGCTTTAGCACCGTAGAGATAGATTATTGCCGATTTCGAGAGTACAAACACAGAGAGCCAACATCAAAAAACCAAAAACTTTGTTCGCTCATGTTACGCCATAACACGATTCATTCTCATAAAATAGGTGCGCCGAGAATAACAAATCTTTAAAATACACTTACGTGAGGCATGTTCTGCTACCATGCAAGTGTGGTAACAGAGCGAAGCCATGTTACGGCAGAATCGGTCCGTAAGTGTTATAGATTTTAAATGTTATCAGAATAATCCACTCAAAATTATGAAACGAGTTTCGGAAATCTTTCAATATAAAACCCTTTTGAAACAATTATTAAACACCAGAAAGCCAGTAAATTATGTTCAACTTCTGATTATGTAAGTCATGGCAAATTCACATTAATGAAA